AAGATTTATTTAAAAAAAAATTTAATACATTTAATATGGGATACGTTCCCCATTTTTTTCAATTACAAGTTTGCATCGTTCTTTCATGGATCCCACCAGGTTCGCTAAAATACTTTCTGGGATTTTTTTTTTCATTCTTCTACCATAAACCGCTCTAATTCAATTAAATTTTTTGGCCAACGTTTTTCAACCTTTCCCTTAACTATACTCCACAAATTTGCTATTGGATTGAGGTCGGGACTATTAGACGGCCAATTGATTACTATCGAGGCATTCTTTGCTAGAAATTCTTTTGCAACTCGACTTATATGCTTGGGGTCATTGTCTTGTTGAAACTGCCAACGGTTTCCAAGCATTTTTCGAATTTCGGGAAAGTGTTTCTCTAAGATTTCCACATAAAATGAACCGTTCACAATTCGTTAGAAATTAAAAAGGCTCGTTTTTCATCTTGACCAAAAACCCCCCCAGGAAAAAATTTTTCTTTTATCTTTTGGGACTCGTCGTACGGACGTTTTTCTTTGTACCAATATTGTACTGTATTACGAAACAATTGAAATGAAGTTTCATTAGTAAAAACAGTTCTATTCCAATTATTATTTCGATATTTTTTGCCCACGCTATGCGCTTTTGCATATGTTCGCTTGTAAGCATTGGCGTTACCTCCGCTCGATTTTTTTTATAGCCAAGCTCGGTCAAATGATTCCAGACGGTTACGTGCGAGACCTGAACTTCTTTTATTAAAAGTTTGGTGGCCAGTGCTTTTGTTAAAATTGATGGATTAGTTTTTACTTGTTTGACTAAAAACTTGGAGCTTCGGGAAGAGATTTTTCGGGGGGGCGACCACTACGATTTCGGTGACTAATACCACCAGTTTTTTTTTTTTTAATTTAGAAATATTGTAATATACTGTAGATCTTGGAATACCCGTTCGTTTTTGTATTTCTTTCACAGTTTGGATTCCTCAGTCCCATAAATGTTAGATAATTGATTTTCATCATGTAAATCATGTCCAAAGTGCACTGTTAAAGAGAAATCAACAAAATATATTTCGATCACATCATCGAAATGAATGTCGTTAATAGATGAAGTAATTAAAAATTAAATATGTTAAACACTTGTCTGCAATTAGATATATTATGAAAATTCTGGATGCTTGGTTTAATTTTTTGTATTCTTTCCGGAATAACCTTTTCTGGTTTTTCATCGTACCACACTTCTAGAAGGAAATTCCATTATCTTGACATATGCATCTTTTAACCGATCACGATTTACATCCTCAAATTTTTTGACAGCTAGTGCTACGGAGCCGATGTTGAGCACCTTGTACCTCTAACGCAATTTGGTATTTTTGAAAGAAGGGTATCAATTTCTAACCCATTCAGGAAAGAAGGATGATACTCGATTATAGGTTCTTCATTAAGAATTTCTTTAACTATTTGAATACATCTAGTTTGAGATTTTTTTTTTTCTCTTTTTGACCAAACCTGTTCTAATTTTATAATTGGAACTTGAGTTCAGCCTGTTCCTTTCTTACTTGTGCAATCATATCATTTTCAATATCGGTTACAAGCTTGGAATTTAATTCTTTTAATAAATCAATTTGGGATTGTGCATCTGCTATTTTTTATATAAAATACGGATTTATCCAATTAATTATATGTGGATTAGTATCAAGGTTATTTAGCATAATAAATTTTATAAATAAAAATCACTTTTGCCAAAAAATTCTCAATAATATGCAGATTAATATACATAATTATCAATACAATGAAATAAAAACCCAAAGTGCACATAAAAATAAACACGAAATCTTGCCACCAGGGCTTAGCTTTATTAATGTGATAAAAATAAAAACAAATTCGGAAAAAAATAAATTTACGCATAAAATAAAATTATTAGTATTCCAAAAATTATAGCTGACGCGCAAGATTGGTAGAGAAGCAACCCCCTACATTATACAGATGTATTTATTCAAAATAAAAAATACATACATAACATTTTTACAACTGGCTTCACTATTAATACACAGATTCTCCTACATTATTACTACTCATTTGTTTCTATTAGAAAAAATATTTAATAAAAACAAATACCGAATCAATTTTTTTTTCCTTAGATAATTAATTTTTAGCATGTATACATCCAGTTTAGTTATACATGTGAATAAATAACGGAGCTAGTGACTTTATTACTGCAATATTAACTATTTTATTCTTAATTCTAATTGACGGAAACGTTTACATTGGGCATTATTCTTTAGTCATCACCATCTTGAACTAGTTTACTGATTTCTGATCTAAAAATTTGTCTCGCGATTCTCTCCATCTCAGCTTGTTTTTTTTTTTTCATTTTTCCTCTGTAATATCTTGTTTAACTGAAAGCTTCATTTCCTCTGGTATATCTGTATTTTGTGATATGATATTGGATACTCTCTCCTGATTATCGATTTTAGAATTTTTTGCTATACCATTCTGGTAAGTTTGGATCTCCTATCGAATTTGCGGGTTCTCAGATGCCTATATTTTTTTAATAGTGACCGAACCTATATGGTAATGTGTTTTAACCTTTTTTTCATTCCAGCTTTAAGATCCTCCGCAAAAAGTATAGCGTCTATATCAGCTTTAGCCAAACGTAATGGAGTTGCTTTTTTTCTGGGCGGGTTGTTTGAATTATCTTTATCCGATTTTTTTGATGTCATCTTGATTGAAAAATATATTGTTACAAATAAAAAAATTATATCTAAATAAATTCGATATTATACGAGTCAGAAACTCTATACTTTGCATATTATAAAAAATATTTAATAACGTAAGCTAATCTTCGATTAAAAACAATTACCAAATCGATTTTTTTTATTTATTATATAGTGTGTAACAAAAGTCTTTGCACTGCTACAACAATTGAACGAAATCACATGTTTGATATGGTTGTACATTCAACTCATTCGACTAATTTGGATGAATTATTGTTTTTAAATTATAGATTTCATACTGGTCAGATACTTTTATTATAAGAGCATTTTTTAATATGATAGAAACTTCTATATTTTTATTTATATTATTATATCCTATAGAAAATAGATATAATCTAAAATATGTATCTATATATAAATCAAGATCTTCTTTCGTATTACAAATATAATAAGGTTCTTCTATAGTAATTATATTTGACATTTTCTGTATTTATTATACTGATAAAAAAATCTTTATAATATAATTTTTTTCATTTATTATAATTTAATCGACTATGAATGTACAGAATCAAAATCTTACGAATGTGAAAGTTAACACTATTACTCCTGAAACATATACATTATCAATACCTGAAATTCTCGAAAACATCTTTATTCCAATTTTTTATGGTCAATAATACCTGGTGTTCAGAAGGAGTTCGCTCTCCCCTGAGCAACAGCATTCTCCAAAATAGATAAATTATTATTATCATTATTATTATTATTATTAACAATAGAAGAGGGAGATGTAGGAGTAAAGGTAATGTGGCATTGATGTCATGTAAACTCGTTACTGGTACAGATGAATAAATAATTGCATCAATAGAATGACATTTGGCTACATAATGCAAATACTATTCCTTGAATTTCTTGAATTGAGAGTCGTGACTATAAGAAAATAAATTAATTGAACTAAATTTTTAAAACATTTGTGTAAATTAATTAATTAATTAATAGTTAAATAATATAATAATTAATAAATAATTAGATTAATTAAATAGTTAATTTTAATTAATAATTAATTTAATAGTTAATAGTAAATAGATAATTAATAATTACTTTGCACTTGTCAGCTGCTTGATTAGTTTCTTCTTCCGATGATGGTGATTCTGATGTATGCGTGGAAAGCAATGATAATTCAGCATTAATATTTGAAACTGAATAAATAACTTTCATAATTTCACCTAAACAATAAGTATCCCAAGCTCTTCCATAAGCAAAGTATTCTTCATAGATATAGATAAAGAAGATGATAATGATCCAACTTTAGTGATGAAATTTTCTTTTTTATGAAGATGATGATGATAATGTTGTTGAAGATGATGATCTACCCCAGTATCACCAACAGATTTTTCACCCCCACATGATTTAGATTTGTTATAGCATCATAATCGATAAAGTTCCCCATGAGCCTAGTGGAAATGACATAATTATGTCATTTCCACTTAGTCTAGATTATGTATGACGACGAGATCACATGAGTGTCGTCATTCGAGTGACGATGAATTTACATTCGTGTCGTTAGACTTGAGTACCTATGGTATATGAAAAATGTGACGACCGATTTACATTTGTGTCGTCATTTGGTCATATATCGAATTGGTGATCCTGGCTAATTTCAAGTATAGAACACTCTCCGATACAGGTTATGATGATATAGGCGCGACCTCTCTACAGCATATTCTAATTCTTTTAGAAACCCAGTTTTGATAGTTATATTTGTATGTGGGCTTAATGCTTTTGATCGATTTCCATTGTAAGGTAATAGCTGAGTTAGGTTATGGAAGGTGATGGGTGGCCTGGCGACAAAAATTAGCCATCGTCATCATATAAATTTTCATATACCGGCCCATTGTTCCCGATTGATTTCCATTGTAAGGAAATGGCCGAGTTAGGTTATGGGACGAGTTGGTTTTATCGCGGGTTTGACGATCTGATATATGTCAGTTCGCATGTGTCTGACGATAAAAGTTGACCACATGGATAAAAAATATATCTGATGATGCATTCAGTCGCGTGTCGTCATTTGTGGAGGCTGACAGTGAAAGTATTTGCTATCGAATGTGTTTACTTACTCTATCTCATTACCGAATAATTCGTGTATCTTGTTCATAATTTTAGATCGATCAAGAATATATTGCCATTCTCTTTTTCCACCACTTACTCGTGCTCGATTTCGAGTAATACCAATATTAGGAATACTTATTTTTTTCATGACTTCAATAGCAGAGCTAGTGCCAAGGCACATATTGGGATATATAGCAAAATGTATCGACTAAGTGACTCCCCCTTGTCCCCGAACAAAAATTCTTTTTGGATCTTTAGATTTATTAATTATGTTCCTTTATATTATTTTATCTTTGTCCCTAGCGTCCTTAAGAAAAATAAGAATCTAGAAAAAATCATCACTCCATGGTAGCTACTGTATATAGTAGATAATAATACGTATACATGTATATATATATATAACACATATATGATAGATAAAGAAAAATAAAAAGTAAGAAACTCGCGATTTTGCTAGGCCAACTAAGGACATTAGGGCCAGTTATTCAAGAAGATGTTCTAGAAACTGAAAAATGTCAAATAGCTGCCCCCCCTTCCACCCCCAGCTAATTTTTTTTTCTAGGGACAACTTTTACCTATACTGGTTCTTCTGGAATGGTCGAAAAATCTAGTGTTTGTACATTTTGTGTTATCTTTTCCAGCTTTTTTCGATAATAAAATGCTTTAGCATGATGCTTCCCAGTATGTAAATTGCACAATCCATATGCTGAAGCAGTTGCTCTACCACATTGTGAATAAAGGACACGTGGGCGTCTTTTCCAATGTAAAGCACATCCTTCTTGCCGATAACAAGGCCGACTGCAAACCTTTCCCTCATTAGAAAGATACTGACAAAGATAAGTTCCTGTCATTGATTATTATTTTGTTGAAACCAACCAATTATTGTAATGATATGTGCTTTAGTGCTAACTCCGTTATTATCTCAGGTAAAAATATTCAATAATTATTTTCGATTTAAACTTTTTTCTCAGGGTAATATAATACAAAAACAACCAGACTACCATGAGTACCCAAAGTGAACGCGATACACCTACCGTGCCTGCATATACTGAAGAACCTGAAATTCAGTGCTCTGTATCATCCGATACGCTGACCGAGATCTCCATTCCTGAAAATCAAGAGCAATGTGAGGAGACTTACACACCAGAGAGCCCAGAAAATGCTGAAGAATATAAGCCCGAGAATGGGGGAGAAGGGAACGGGGGCACCTACCACCAGGGCGCCAACACATTTCCTCAATTACAGATTTCGGAAAATGGAAAGTCGGAACAATTACTTCAATACATATTCCACTATTTTGGTAGCGATTATTTGAAAGGTATTCTCTCTCGCGATGAATTTGTTGCTAAGTATGATGATGGATTAACTGCAATTCTTGAACAGGCATTAGCTAAAAGAGAAGATATTTCATTTATGGCCGTTGATGTGAAAGAATCGACTGAAAAGGTTAAAGGCCTGTCTTGTTATGTATTGCGTTTATATGGCCCCCTTATAAATGGG